AGCTATGGCGCGGGGAAAGAGGATCTGCATACATACCCGGATAGGAACGTGTGCAAGTGAGAAAACTTGGCTCCATGTTATGAATACGATTAGAGGCGGGGCCAAAATTCCGCCATCAATGATCACACGTCCAACTTACCAGCTCATGGGCATGAGCCCGCCCACTGCACTGACGAAGCCTAGCGAAGCGAGTGGCGTTTCTAATACCTTGGTCTATGGCTTAATATCTATTTAGATGCCGCAACGGTCTCCCGTGTAAGAGCAGTCCAGCGTTCGCTCCAAAGGTAGCGCTAAATAAGCGCATGTCGCGGCAGCAGTTTGCCAGCAACCCTACTTCAATGACAGCATCGGGATTCCTATTTCCTTCTCTCTCCCTGCGTTAGCTGTACATGTAGCACCCGGTGCAAAAGTGCGTAACGACATCTCAAGATGCCTCTAGGGCGACACTCGAAGAACGTAGCGATTGCGATCGATGCCGGCTCCCGTGCGCCTCACCTTCGGCCATCAAGTCGTCTGTCCGCTCTTCTCTCCCCTCCCACCCTTTCGATCCCGTTGATCAATTTGCTGTTGTAGAAAAAAGGGTTGGGGGGGGGGGAGGGGGGGAAATCCCTCGGCCAAAGCTTATACTTGCAAAAACCGATCATCAAGATAGCCACGTGTACCGCGGGCCCCGCTGCCGCAATAAACAGACAGAGCCATTTGCTGTTTCGGCCGGGAGTTGTAATGTTACTACTTCCGCAGCGGTGGGTAGATTAATGACTCTGTTCCAGATACACATGGCCAAAGTGACGCCATAGGCCAGAGACTCCTGCCCCCACCGGGCGAGAGACGGGAGTACTCTAGGGGACCGAGTCACCTCGTTTGGTATTCCCGAAGGAGCCGCCATCTGGTGATCGTCCCGGATTGCCGCTAACATGGACTGTGGAACTATGCGAGGGAAAAGCCTGACGCCTCTTTTACTCTTTTACACTCTCGACTTGGATGGAGTCGAGCGTATTGGCATAGTCGATAATAGCAGGCTATTTGACAATAGCCAATCAATCAGTCCCTGCAGGCGAGTACGAACCAATGAAGTCTTTTTCTTGTCGAAAAAACAAAAACAAGAAACAGTTTGCCTAGACATCACGATAGCACGCACGCCAATAACAAGCGCGTAGTAAGTAAAACAGTCACGAATCAATAGTGGTGTGATTCCACCATCTGTGGGTGTTCATTCTCTTCTGAGTCGCGGATTGAATTTAGCACTTGAGGTGAGAGATGATGGGGTCTGTAGAGGATGGCCGTCTGCAAGGCCACTTGGGCTCGCTGCGCCTTGACGTTGCGTGGCCGTGGCTGGTTCGTCAAGGATAGAGTTCGATTCAACAGCCTGCAAACGCGAATTACGATGCCTCACCTTGTTTCACCGAGGGTGTTGCCCAAGGTTTGATAGGGCGACAACGATCGGAGCCAGGGTGCAGATGGGTTGGTTTGGAATGTGCGTGGATGGGCAGTGGATTGTTGTTTCCTTCCAGGGTTGCTGGGCTAGGTTTGCGCATCTTTCCTGGACAGCGAATCGCGGAAGGCTTCTTCGAGGCCGGATTTGCTGCAGGGGCGAGAGGGATTCGTTGGTGCCGAGGGTGAGGAGCGTGCAGAATGTGCATAAACTCAAGTGAGAACCCGGCAGAAAGGGCCAGAAGGAGGTGCGAAAAAAGGTGCTAAACACAACAGGGGAGGGGCACTACCAGCCTTTTCACCCGCCAACCAGTATCGCCCCACCAGCGGGAAGAGTTGACAGGGGAGGGGCTCAGTCAGGGTGGCGGGAAGCCCTTTTTTCCCTCCCCTTCTTGCTGCGGCGGGCCAAAGCAAGTTTTCTTAAGTTTTAACTCTCTTATCCACGGAAAACCTTTGCCCGTTAGGAGCCCAAGGTTGTGTCGAGCCAGGGAAGAAGCTTTGGGCAGGTCGGAAGGGGCGGCGCCAACAGAAACACGCATTCTCCCATCTCCCACTTCGGCAAACTACGATGATGCACATAGTATCCGTAAACTATTTGTTATTATAGCACCGCCTTATTTTAGTGCTGTGAACTCTCATCGCTCTAGCTTCGAACCCCGTCTGCTGGATGAGACTGTCAGAGTCGATAGATGACGATCACAGATGTTCCAGGGACTCGTTAGGCTGAACGCGGGCTTGTGCAAACTGTCTAGCGGCTGCCCCGGTGCCGTCTTGAATTCCCCGAATGACTATTGGACTTCTTTAGAGACGTCAGGCGCCCAAACACTCGAGCGCGAGGATACGGTACGTACCTCTGTAGTACCTACGTGAGTGTGCGTGTGCGCGCGGGTGTGGGAAGGTAGGCATTGGCTGGTGAGGTCATGGTTCACGCAAGTGCCGATCTCCATTGGAAACCATCGAAGCTCTGCTTTCTTTCTGCCCGTCACTGCCCCTCTAGTCTTGTCTGTATGCAGCCTCAGCCTACCGGTAGTGTGCTAACCGCAATGTCCATGTGCATTCATCCCCCCTCCATCATCCATGTCTGTCACAGCCTAGGAACTTCCCTTCCCGATCGAGTCCATCCCACCCTCCCCAGCCATAGAATATTAAAAGATACCCTGTTGCTGCTTTCCAGTTCGCAACCCTACTCACCCGACAACCAGACCACATCAGTCTTGTCTTATTTGTTCCACGCCACCCCTACGCAGACTGCTACTCCTCCACGTTGTCGTCGATTCCTGTTTTGCCTACACACCACGCACAGGCTCAGTAATTGAGAAACAATCCTCAGCTGCTTCACATCATCCACTTGCAAACACTTCTCCTCACCGAGAACCAGTTACGCCACTACAGCCAGGTCGTGTTAACCACCGAGCGCAATCAGAGTCATCAACGTCAACTACATATTTTTCAACCATCGGGCAATTCTACTGTCGGACAGCCACTACCCAAAGCGATCCACCACCTGCTCAACATGATGGACTCGATGTTGCCAGTCCTCGTCCGGGGCCTCCAGATCCTCTGGGTCCTGCTCGTCACAGCACTGATCGGCAATGTCATTGCCCTCAACATCAGCAGCGCCGGCTCTGCCATGGCCGCTATCAACTTCTCAATGTTCGTTGCAGTCGTCTGTTGGCTTGCATCTCTCTACGGACTGGTCGCCGCTTTCGTTTCAGCCATTGCCATCCCCATCGTACTGTTAGCCCTCGACGGTGCCGCCGTTCTGTTTACCTTTATCGACGCCATTGTCTTGTCAGCCAAGCTCCGCGCGGTCAACTGCGGATCGCTGAACAGGCGCGACTTGCCGAGCAACTACATTGTCTGGGGTTCCGGCGACGACGAGAAGCGCTGCCGCGAGATCCAGGCCAGCACGGTCTTTATGTGGTTCCTGTTCGCCAGCTTCTGCGCTGGTGGGTTCTTTACCTTTATGAACTTCCGCCGCGGAGGCGGCTCCATGCGCAGCTCACGGCCCAGCATGGCGCAGGTCGACGTCTAAAGCTTTTGAAGCTCGTCTTTGCCTGTGGCGAACACTTACGCGGCAAAAGAAACTTTATGAGGCGTTTACAACACAGACGACAGCTAGGCTAGACATTCGCCTTCCACTTCACGGGAAGGCTGGTTGGGTCTGACGGCGTTGGCGGCAGGTTGTTGTTTTACGTTACCTTTCACGATGGCATGTAATAATAATGCATGACAGGATATGGGACATGGGATATGGAATGACATGGATATGCGGTTATAAATATGGCGGGGCTTATACCTGGGAGCTTCAGGAATTGGCCACAGGGCCATCATCAGCCCCTTATAGTACAACGATGCGAATTGATACCATTAAATGAGCCTTAGTCGATATATGGAGCTTGATGATGGTTTACTGTATGGGTCATTTGTGTGCACCCTAATGTAATGTAGGGTGTCAGCCAACAAAGAGTATGAAGGACAGCCATCGTGCTATTCGGGTCTTGAAGTATGACAAACGTTATGATTCAAATCTAGATGACCAGGCCCGGTGCCTCGCCTCATTATATGCCGCCCTGTTTCCTATGACGGCTATCCTCAACGCCAACCATTTATACACGCCAAGCATCGTGTTGATGCCTTTAGCTTAATGATGAAAGATCCAAAGGTTTGCTGCCGAGTCCACAGGCCTTGTTGCGTCTCCTATAATGTTGCCGCAGCCTCTGCCACGCCAGCGGCCTTGAAACCTCGCTTGTTCGTCCACCGCACCTCGACGTTGTGCATCCACTCCATGTATCGTGACCAGCCTGTTGTAAATGATGATCAGCACTTGACCAATAGTAAGAAGGACACTCCGGAAGCATACTCCAATACGCAAACTTTCGGCCAAAGTATTTGCCGGCGAATGGCACGATGACCATGATCAGCAGCAATTGGATCTGCTCGAGACTGCGCTCCCATTCCTCCTGCGCGTCCGATTCATCTTCCGAGTCTAGCACGCTGCTGGATATTGAAGGCAGCGAGTCGATATCGTCATTCTCAGAGGACGGGGAGACGTCGTCGTGGAGAATGAAGGAGTCGGTGGATGCCATAATGTCAGGAATGGGGCGACGTCGGCCCAGTTGGTCGGCGCTCGGCGGTTGAGCTTGGGATGTGCGGCGTTCGACGAGCCGGCAAGAGAGGATGTGAAGATCGGGCTTCAGCGCCTTATTTCAGGGCAGTCGACAGGCTGCCTCCAGCAGACGTGTTCGATGCTCGTAGAAAATGTAAGACAATCTACCGGAAGGGCGTTCGTGAGGGAAGGGGTTGTATCAAGGACTACAATGCCTCCGGAGATTGATACCAATGAGCTAGAGATGCCAGTGGAGGTCGGAACGCATGGTGGCCTAGAGCTCCCCCCCTCGTTTCCCCAGGGCATTGTCGATATGGACGGTGATTGGTTGTAGGTACCGGAATGATGGGTCCGTCTGGAACTAAGGGAACTAGGAGCTGTGCTTCAACCAGTCACGTGATCATGGTCATCCTTCACTCACAGCCCACGCTCACCCAGATTTTGGGGGGGGCGACGCTCAGCGTTAGTCTACAGCGACAGGATCGGGTCGCACCGCCGTCACGTCACACCCGCACCCCTCAAGAAATCTTCCAGTGCTGCAGTCAATTCAGATCTCCCCTCTCACAAATTCCCGAACCATCCTCGCTTCGTTCGACATTTCCAGATCGGTTGCTTGGGATTCCTGTACTATTTGCGCCAGTACACGACTTGTCAACGGTCAACCAAACCCCCCGGGCAACTCGAGACATTCACCTAGGACACACGCCAGGATACCTAACCGAGAGTTCGTTCAGTGAGACATAGGCCGCAATCATGGATGTCGAGGTAAGTTTCCCTACACCACAGTCAACAAGTTAGCCCTCCCTCATGCGCACTTGTGAGCACCACCACCCACTGGCCCCTCCACCAATCCCATCCTTAGTTACCCCACTGCACTTTGAACCTGGACCCGACACGAATTGAACAGAACATTTTCCGTGACTCAACTCAATCGCCGAAGACTGCCACCCATCACCACCTGACGTTGTTCTCCCCCTCCTCCCTAAATTTTTCTTGTCCTCTGTCCCTCATCCCCGAGAGAGAGATAGAGAGAGAGGGAAAACCCCACTGTTGTCGTTTTTTTACGGTTGTATTCTAACATAGGTGCCTTCCCCACAGGACAAAGCCTCCGTCCCCGACCGCAAACAGCGTAAATCAGTCGCCTTCACAGACGAGCAAGTAGTCGTCGACGCCGACGGATCAGTCACAATGGTCAACGCCACCGAGGAACCCAAGGAGACAGCCCAGTCGCACACGCCTCGTACGCCGCCGCTTGCTGCAGCCCTTGAAGCCTTACATGCTGATGCCAATTCTCAAGCTGGAGCCGAAGATGCGACGGCCTCCGCCCCCGAAGCCGCTGTCGAGGATGGCGGTCTCGACCTGTCAATGAAGAAAAAGAAGAAGAAGAAGGTCGTCAAGGAAGGTGACGATGCCGCCGAGGACGCCCCCGCTGGCGAGGACGGCGGCGTGGACCTGACCATGAAGAAAAAGAAGAAGAAGAAGAAGGCCACCGGGGACGCCGAGGATGACGAGTTCGCCGCCAAGCTTAAGGCTCTGGATCTCGAGGGTAACCAGGAGGGCGGTGAGGCCGCTGAGGAAATTGCCGATGACGGCGACATGGACGCTGGCACCGGTGTCTGGCAGCACGACGAGACCAAGGCCCTGGGCTACCCCCTGCTCCTGGACCGCTTCTTCCACCAGCTCTCCCAGAAGAACCCCGACCACGCCCTCAGCGGCTCCAAGAGCTACAAGATCCCTCCCCCGCAGTGCATGCGTGAAGGCAACAAGAAGACCATCTTTGCCAACATTGCTGAGATCTGCAAGCGCATGAAGAGAACCGAGGAGCACGTCACCGCCTACCTCTTCTCCGAGTTGGGTACTAGCGGTTCCGTCGACGGTAGCAGACGCCTGGTTATCAAGGGTCGTTTCCAACAGAAGCAGCTCGAGAACGTGCTGCGCAAGTACATTAGTAAGTCTTGGACCTGGCACTCTTACCCTGCTGTTGCTGACCGGTATTTTCCTCCGCAGTCGAGTACGTTACCTGCAAGACCTGTAAGTAAAAATCCTTCGCCCGCTGTCCATGCAAGTGGCGCCCTGCTGACAAAAGTTCTCCAGGCAAATCCGCCGACACCGAGCTGTCCAAGGGAGAGAACCGTCTGTACTTCATCACCTGCAACTCTTGCGGCTCGAGACGTTCCGTTACTGCTATCAAGACCGGTTTCTCCGCCCAGATCGGCAAGAGAAGAAAGATGCAGGGCTAAAGAACCACGAAAAAATGAAACTACACAACCCCACGGACGACAAGCAAGAAAAGAGTTGGAGAGGGAATTTTCTTCTACGCTATTTACGTCCTTTAGCGTGTTCTTGTCTCGTAGATATGACCTTTGCTGGGCCCAGCAGTGCGCGGCGCAGCAAATCTAGGGCTGTGATGCTCCCCGGGGTAGTCAGTGATGGATGGCACAATAGAGAACAGATGGCGTTTTCACCCCAAAAGTTTGACGGAAGCCCGGACAGTAATGTCAAATCACTATTTCCTCACTTGCAGTCTGTGGATCTGAACGCCTTCCTTCCTTCCTTTTCTTTTTTTATTTTATAAAAAATGAAAGGGGTGTCTTGCACCAGCAACGTGTGCTGTGATGTGTTGGGCGCTACGTTTTCGAGCTTGCGTGTGCTGGTGAGATGTAGGGCCTGGGGGGGAAGGGGGGCGAAAGCCGACCGACCTATATTCGTCCGGCGATAGGGCCGGTCGGCGGCGGGTGATCCAACCACCAAGCCATCTCGCTCCTGCAACACATACCAACGCATGACCCAACTATCCCCGCGGCAAAACTTGGAAAAAACCAAGGTTATATATCACTGGTCGTAAACGTCCTTGGAACCAGTTTCTCATAAGTTTCCCAGTTGTAAGCTCTAGCCGCAACCTTATCGCTCAACTCGGTCTGCACGTAGCCCCGCAACGCATCTTACAGACGGCCGATCAGACGACTATGACGGGCGCCACCCTCCGACCGGGCCAGGCCGACCTCCCCTCGGCCAAGAGCACCGCGTCCTACTGGCATCGCGAGCCCTCCGAGGTGCTCCTCGGCCACAGGACCACCAAGGCGCTGCCCCCGACCGCGGACGTCGTCGTCGTCGGCACCGGCATCACGGGTGCCTTCGCCACCAAGGAGCTGCTGGAGCAGCAGCAGGCGGGGAATCAGAAGGAGAAGGTCCTTGTGCTCGAAGCGCGGGAGGTCTGTTGGGGCGCCACTGGACGGGTGAGTCTGCTCTTTCTTTTCCGCTGTCAGACCTCGAGGCTCGTGAGCGGCTCAAACATCACTTGGCCAAGTTGTACCATACAGAACCTCTTCCTCTCATGCGCTGCTGCTTTACACACAAACGTAAACCACGCGTGATGTTTACCTTCATCGGAACTAATTCTCCACCCGCAGAACGGCGGCCACTGCCAGCCGATGGCCTACAATCCCAACACCGCCATCGCCGAATTTGAGCTCCGCAACTACGCTCACCTCACCGACCTCGTCGCTGCGAACGCCATCCCGTGCGACTGGGTCCCACTCCGTGGCGTTCACGCCCTTCTCACCCAGGACCTTGTCGCCGCCGCTGAGAAGCAGATCGCTGCGCTGCTGCCGCACCTCGCGGGCCTCGTGAGGCTGGTCACTGATCCGGAGGAGCTCAAGAGCCTCAGGGTCCCCCACGCGGCGGGAGCTGTCGTTCAGGAGCGGGCGGCGAGCGTATGGCCGTACAAGCTCGTCGCGTGGGTCTTTGAGGACCTCTTGCGCCGGTTCGGCCCTGGATCGGGCGTCGAGGTGCAGCCAGAGGGCGTGTGGTTCAACATACAGACCAACACCCCGGTGACCCGCCTCCAGCACCTGCCCGGCTCCTCCGCTGCTTCCGGCGAGGCCTCGTGGGTCATCCATACGGACCGCGGGCAAGTCGCCGCAAAAAAGGTCCTTCTCGCGACCAACGCCTACACGAGCCGCCTGCTGCCCGCCTTCGCGGACCTGATCGTCCCCGTTCGGGGCCAGGTCGCCGCGCTCCTACCCGAACCGCGCGCAGAGCTGGGGCGGAGCTACGTCTTCATGGCCAGCTCCGACGCCTCCAAAGGCGAGCCGAACCAGGACGACTACCTGATCCAGCGGCCCGGGCCCGGGCTGGAGATGATCCTCGGCGGCGGCAGGGCGCGGGGAGTGCTCAAGGGCGTGGGCGTCTCGGACGACGACGAGGTCGACCCCGTCGTCGCGACATACCTGCGCCGGGCCGGGGCGGTAAACGTTGACTTGGGCAGCGGGGAGGAGAAGGAAGAGCTGAGTGCGAGCTACGAATGGTCGGGCGCGATGGCATTTGCAAGGGATTCCAGACCGTGGGTTGGCCCTGTGCCATCTGGCCCTGTCCTTGGCGGGGGGGAAGGATTATGGATCTGCGCCGGGTATACAGGACACGGGATGCCGCAGGCGGCCCTGTGCGGCCGCGCGGCTGCCAGGATGATGCTTGGATCACGCAAGGACGGCGCGGATGAGGTGGACGTCCCGGCCGAGTTCCTGGTCAGCGAGGAGAGGGCCGAGAAGGCTAGAGCGCTGCCCTCGATCAAAGAGATGGACGACTTAGACATGTTCTTGTTGTAGCCCGACCGGACGCTCAACCCCCCAACCGCTTTCGGCTCTCTGTACCCGACAACGAATGTCCCGGGCTCTGGTGGCGATCAGCGGAGCGTCCAGATCACCGCTGGGAGGAATGACGATCATCCTCATGGAATGCGTATCGGCGAGACGAAAGTAAAGCGCAAGGCAAGGACCTGATAGAGACACTGTTGTGCCGTGTGGAACGGTCTGCTCGAGACATCCGGGGAGGCGCCGATGGAGGCGGAGGGGTGGGAACACGCTGGGCTTAGCTCGCCGGCTGCCTCTGAGCAGTCCGGGTTGGGTTATTGCGGAGTGAGACACTCGAAAAGGGATGCAAGCGGCTTCTCCTCCAAGTGCACACATTATGCGAAACCTGCGATCCAGGGCGTCTCAGCCGCTGTTATTTGCCGCTGGACGTTATCTGGGCTCATCCACGGGAATGTAGAGTTCTTGTCATGATCGGAAGGCCGCCTGAGATGCTCACCTTCGAGTGGGCTCTTACAACTTTCTGCGGCTGCTCATGAGGCCTTAGGTGCCACACGCGATCGTGGGAATGTACCATCAAATTATCAGAATGGACACTCGGCCGATTGATCCAGAGGTTGGGCGCATGTTGATCGAGTTCTCAATGTTGAAGATTTTCATTTTGCAATTCTTCCTAGTACTGTTGCAGTACCAAACTCCACCAGGAGGCTCGTGAGCACTCCGTAATATATACATTGAAGATTACTTGTATAAGCCGATCGAGGAAAATTGTCCACAAAACAAAACACCAGCTTATCCACCAAGTATGGGGATACACATCCAAAGGTATATAGATATTGTCATCACGTCATCGAAAGCAAAGTTTCTTTCGTTGCTGTCCTTTTGTAATCCAATGAGAGAACGCAAGCAGTGAAGCTCTTAGTTGATGAAAGACCACTCCACGGTCTTACGGCCGACGCCGAGACTGTCGAACATCTCGAGGAAGCACTTCTCGCTGACGTCGATATCGTTCGCCTTGCAGCCCATGCACTTATCGCGGACAGTAGCGGTGGTGGACTTGCCATCGACGGTGATCTTGACCTTCTTGCCGCAGTAAGGGTTGCCATTGGACTGGGCACCCATGACGAGGTAGGAGATGGCAACGATGTTCTCGGTCATGTCCTTGCCACTATCGTCCTCACCGCAGGCACCCATGCCAACGGTGTAGTAGGTCAAATCACCGGAGTGAAGAACGCCGCCAGAGCTGCTGGAGGAACTGGACTCAGTGCTGACTTGGGAGGCAGCAGGAGCAGCAGCCTGAGTGGTGGGCTGAGGAGCGGGCGCAGGAGTGGCGGGTTCAGGAGCGGGCGCAGGAATAGAGGTGGTAGGGACCGGCTCGGGAGCAACGTAGACGGGAGTGGAAGGCTGAACGGGCTCAGGAGTCGGAGTCTGAGGAGAGGGCACAGGGGCCGGAGTAGACGTGGGAGGAGGAGGAGGGGGAGGGGGAGGGGGAGCCTGCGACACGGGCTCACTGATGGACGAAGCAACGGGGGCGGGCTTCGTAGAAGTAGATAGAGTGGTAGAAGGCGGCTCGTTGGCGGGCTCGAAGAACTGGGCGGGAGCCGAGGTAGTAAGGACTGCAGAGCTGGTGGACGAGGCGTCGGGGTTAACCCAGACGGTGCTGGTTGAGTCAACCCACTGGGTCACGTAGGCGACTTCGGTGACCCACTCGGTGAAGAGGGCGCGCTTCTGGTGTTTGCCGTGAACATGGCGCTTGTGGCCATGCTGGTGAGGCTGAGCGATGGCACTGGTGGCCAGGACGGCGCAAAGAATAGCGGTGGTCTTCATATCGGAATACTGAAAATTGCTTGCAGCTGAAACGTTGCTGTATATGTGTGTATATCGTTCAGGAGACTTGTGCCGTCTCTTGATGATAGCAACCCTCTCTTCCGTCAAGGCCGGGTTGGAAGCGAAGTGAAAGCAACGAGCTAAGCTACGCCCGAGATCGATCAGGGAATGTGCTGGGCAGAGTATGAGAAGCTGTGTTGGGTTCAAGCTTGTCGATGAGAGCTTTGGGCACGCCTTGGTATGTACTTTTGAGTCTCGAGGTCTGCTGGTAGGCTGAAAAGATGGGATGAAAGGGAGTTCACTGAACTCTCTGTACGACAAGACGGGATGACGGATCCGTTTACTTGATAGCTTGGATGAACCTCAAAGCAGTCGGTTGGGAAAAATGAATGTTAGTCGAGCACTGCTCGAGAGCCCAGAAGAAGGAATGAATGATTTTTTTGGTCGAACAAGAAGGAGCGTTGTTGGATGTAGAAAAAAGAGGGAAAGGAAGGATCGAAAAAGGTCGATCTGGAGAGTGGAGGTTCGCCAGGATATGTAGGCCATGCAAGGACTTGGGCAGAAACCAAACAATGGGCGCAAGGTGAGCAGTAGGGTGAGCCACTTTGGGACTGGCGAGACTGGGATAGGGGCTAAGGTGGGTATTGAGGGGAGGGGTGCAAGCGGAGGCCTGCATATGGTGCTGGCGCCACGACGCTGAGTGTGCCTGACGTGTATGCCAGGTGTGCACGAATAGTAGACCTCGAGGGCCACTCGGGGCTGCGTATGGTGACATCGGTACCTGACGAGGATGGAGCAAGCGCTGTGCCACAATAATGAATAGCGTCCAACAAAAGTCGCAAAAGCCCCGAGAGGGACTACCTAGAAGCAATAGGGGGGAAAGCGCAACTGGCAGCTGGGCCTCATGTGAGCCTGTACGTACAATCGCACCTAGCGTGATTTCCTCGCCCCTGCAAGCTCGCCATTACGAGTACATACAATACGGTACCTATCTACCCCTGGCCAAGGCAGTGTCACTGCGCCTCTTCTGACAAGCCATCACTAGTTAATTGTTTGAATGGGGCCGTTGCCAGATCGTTGCTGGTCAACATCTGGTCCGGAAACCAAGACCGAACGAAAGAAGCAAGGCCCGAGGGGGCACAAGAATAGTCCCGTTGGATGCAAGGATGCGTTAGCGCAGCCTGTTCTGCCCACTCAGTCGCTGCATCGCTAGCACTAACCCCGCCAGGGAGGAAGGGGAGATCCGCACACAGAAAACGAAGGCGTGCGTGCTTCAGACCACTTTTTTTTTTCCTTCTTCGTCTTCAGCCGTCCCCTACCCGGCCTGGCTGGAATCGCATGGGCCAATCTTGGCCCTCTAGGGCTTGACTGATCCACCGTATCACCCAATCCCCAAACCGCCATGGTCTGGAGGTATGGGTGCCGAGGAAACCTGTTGGTCTGGCCAACTTGGTGAGCCAGCAACGTCAACTGGTTGGTAGTACTGTGGGAAGCCCGCCTTGAGACTGGCTATGGGTTGCCAGGGAGTCCAAGAAACGGACAAGACGAAGTGGGTAGCGAGCGTAGGTCCTGGTCCCTAATGATTGTGGTGGTGATCTGAACGGCAAGACGGTATTATTTTGGTTGGTTGGCGTGTTTGATGCACGCCCTTAGCAGCAAAACCACTTCACTTGGAAAAACGGGGTGCCCGGACACCATGGCCGAGGCAACCGACCAAGACGACACTGTCATCACATGCCTTTGGTAGGTAGACGGCTGAAGGATTGGTCTGCGCGCCTCTTCGCCTTCTTTTTCGTCCCGTGTCACTCTCGTCCGATATCCATTTCATTGCCCGCTCGTCCAGCCCATCGCCTCGTGCTCTGCTGCACTCTCGAGGCCTCTTATCTCCCCGCTGTGTCTGTCATCTTAGCTTGCCTTGGCGCAAAGTACCTAATCTTGTTTCCTCATTCTCCCCCGGTGTCCCAAAATTGGATATACGGATACCGTCGGACAGGCGTTTGTTTCTTGAAACAGGCGTTTGTTTCTTGAAACAGGCGGAAACTGGGAAGAAGGCACCGGCATGATCCTACATTCAGGAGGGACAGTGGAGGAGGACGGCCCAGGGTCCGAACACCGTTGAACCCCGCTCCGTCACCTAGCAGTAGGTAGGCATCCTGGTATCCTAGGCTGGGAACAGAAGCATGACGATCATCCGGTGGCTCCGGGGAAGACGGCCAGTGACGAACCTGCTTGCGAACCGCCATTGTTTGCGCGAGCGGCAGCGGGAGGAGGCCTGCGGCTGAGCATTTGCAATTTACGTACTATGTACTCCGTAGACTGTTGCCGCATTGGAAAGTCGAGAAAGGATCGTGTCTCTAATCTGGCGGTCCGCGGGTTAAATCAGCCAGCGCCGTGGCGGCTGCGCTGCAACATCGGTCAGACAAAGCGTCTGGGGGCAATGAGAAACGTGGGTGCATTCAAATACCTGAGATGTTCCGGCAGTGCGCGCTGTGGTGCTTCCACATCGATGGTACAGACTACGGATACAGAGTACTAGTACGGATATCTGCCGAGGGCTTCAACCCCATATCCAGTTGGAGGGGGGTCCCTCTTACCTTTGCCTCAGGCTCACTTGCTGTCAGCACTTTCGCGCGAAAGAAGTGCAAGAGACGAAACAAACGACTGGAACGATGCAACAATAGAAAGCGAGCAAGGGGACGCCCGAGCAAATCCGGCCTGTGCGGGTTCCTTGCATCTGCAAGGTACGCGCCAATCACACTCAGGCGCGGCTGGAGAACTCCTCTCCCAGCGCAACCCTCACAGCCCGTCTCTGTTCTGACTCTCTTTCTTCCCTGTCCCGGCTCTGGCCCCCCGGACGATCAGTCTACTCAGCCAGTGCCACATCAGCCAGTGTCAACGGCCACAGGTTCAACGATGCCACCTCCGACTCTGAATTTTCTTCACTCCCTTGGCCAGTAGTTGGACTTGCGAGCTTGCAGTAGTCAGAGGATATGCCGGACGCGTTGGCTCGGGTAACAGGGCGTCGGCAGACGCAAATATTTTCTCTTTCCCGGTCCCCACCTGGCCAGTCGTTGATGGCTCGCAGCAGACTCTGTAGCTGGTGGGATAAGAGAAGAAAACCCCTCACACCATCGGCGATTCGGCTGCACCTTCCGCACAGCGAAGCATGCAATTAGGCAGACTAACGTTGGTCTAGGCCTACTCGTCGAGCCGAGCAATCCGAGTATTGTTAGCCTCCTCACTGTCCATATCGATCGACAACGCCTTAGTCCAACTTGCGCATCAATAAAATGGATTGCTTGGTAAATAGCCATTGTAACCCTTTATATTGATTGACTCTAGAACCCCTTCCCGTTCGCCGACTCCAATGATTCTACCGCTACCCTCAAATGTTGATGATGCGATTTTGAAACATATATGCGTCCATCAAGAACCGTCCTCTGATGGTGCCTAGTATCAACGCAGAAATCAGTCGCCGATCTCATGAGCACCGACATTCGCTGTGCATTACTTTCGAACCAATACTACTCAGAACCGGGTTTCGTCAGACGTGTCCTGCAGAACACAACAAAAATCCATCAACCAAACGACTTGCTAATGACGCATCAACCATGGGCAAACACTTGTCACTCTCAATTGCCGCTCGTTCTCGACTTCTTGCTTGTGAACGTGTAGAGGAACAGGCCCTCTCTGCTAAATATCGCCCGATCGTCGTCAAATATCTCCGTCACCTGAAACGTTTTTTGGGCCTTCTTGAGGAACTGCATATCTGCGCGTCGTCTCTTCTTGAAACAGAAATAGACCGTAGCACTGGGCTCCAGGGACAGCAAGTTTGTCAGAGTTTCCAATAGCAGCGGAAAGGCCGGCTCAAAGTACACGCAATCGGCAGCCAAGATGACATTTGGCTTGAAGTCGATAACCTCTTGTGCCAGCGGCCCGCCCCTGTCGATGGTTGTTAGCAACTCGAACATTAGCTGAAACGCAGCACATGCCTGCCCAATCTTCAACTTTGCCCTGCAGACCTGCAATGCGGAATTGGGGGGAAGCACGCACCAGTTCAGAACCATTGGCTTGACTTTGTGTTGTAGATTGTTCAGCTCTGTGTTTTTCCCCATCAGCTCGAACATTTCGTCTTGGTCTGTGAGATATAGCGGCGTCTGCTGCAGTTCACACCCTAAAGCGACGGCAAGACCAACCAGTCCGCCGCCAGCACCTAGCTCCAAACTATTCGCCCCGAAAAGCACGAATCAGCCTCAACTCTCATGAAAAGAAAAGACATCACTTGTTTGGTGCGGTGGCCGAATAATGACAGCCATACCGGTACATCATATAGAGTGGCGGGAGAACATCGCAACCAACCGCGTGGAGACCTCGTGGAGGGAAGGAGAGGGAAGAGGCAAGTTGACTCACATTTTCGCTCCCTTCAGAGCTTCCCTATGGTAACGCAGCATGTGTTTTGTAAGCACCATACCTGCCGGCCAGGTTTGACCGCCACATCCTGAGGTGAGGTCTTCATGGAGTTTGAGAGGAGTTGACAAAAGACCGCCGATGTCGTACGACGACGTTTGTGCAGCTTTGTACGCGGGGAGCGGTGTAAGGTCTTCGCCAATATCCAAGGGCGAAAAGTCAGGTGACGGTGACCGGTTGGCGGACTCCATTTGCTCGGATGTGAGGGAGTGGTGAGAAACCTCGTGCTGCGGTTTTTTCTTCTTCCCTTGGGAACTGCCTCTTGAAAACACAGATGATGAGCTGAGGCGAGGTTAGGTCTTGACAACACGGTGACACGAACGGATGAGCGGTGTTTGTCCCTTTGGGGCAGTCAGTGAGTTCCAAAAGGGTGCAGGTCCGGATAGCACATGGCGAGGAGCGGTATCGCCGATTTAATTTTTATTTTTATTTTTATTTTTTTTCCTGGTTGAGGTCGACGACAATCTAGACTTTCCGATAAGGGGAGGTGCGTTCAAGCGGGGTTGCCCCTTCTTGTCTGCGCTCTTTACTCCTTCCCGTGTGCTGCCAAAATAATCCGATTGCCCGCTCTTTCCATCCGATCTTCAACGACGCCTTAATTGAGCCTCGTAATGATTTGAGGACCAAGCGACCTCGCTCTTGCCCTTCAGTGTCAAGCTTACGTAATGCTCCGGTAATTTTCATATTGTCTCACGGCTCCTCTCTTTTTTTTAAGACATCCAATCCTAAAGGAGCGTTGCTTCCCTGAGGTAGCCGAGCTAGGTAGACGAACGATGCATTCAATGAGCCCAGGTCACCGGTCGAGGAGGTGCTCGCTCATCTTACCCTCTGAACGCGGAGACCAAATTCCAGACGTCGCCGAAGTCCCAAGTTTTGAAGTGGATATGTCTTGTACCGCCTCTTCTATTGTTTGACAGCAGACTCTTTCCCACCGCCCTTGAGACCCCTCAACCCGTCGCTGGAATGCGGACTCTGATCAGTTCCCTACGCAACTCTCCAAGTATGGCAAGCTGACTTTCGCCACTCTGAAACAGGGATAGCGGTTGTCTTCTTTGAGTGAAGCAGCGTCTTCCGTTAACGGAAAGGCATCAGTAGTGGGCCGCACACGCTCGTCCGCGACCCTTTGTTGCGAGGGCGCAAACGCTGGCACGAAGGGAGGCATGTAGAACTAGGAATCGGGAGCCCATACGCGATAGGATTCGCGCCCAGCTTATCCTCTACGGGCATCGTCCTGCCCTCCTCTCGTTTCTGATGAAAATTGCTCTCTGAATACAATGTCCTTCTCTGGCTGATTTTGTTTTTGTTTTCTGTTTCTTTGGCTCGCAAATGCCCCGACGCAACAGCGACAACAATGTACGTGATGCTGTATGTGTTCCCGTTTTTAGCTGCGCTTTCGGGAGCAGTACCAGTCGTTTATTTTCCCTTCAACTCTCAGCTGCCGCCTGCCATCAGGATATCCGAGCCCTTCTTGTATACTCTTTCACCACAGACTTTTGCCTCACAATCTCAACTCTCCTATAGCCTTAGAAATGCACCAACATGGCTCTCGATAGATGCGACCATTGGCCGTCTCTCCGGAACCCCCCAGGATGGCGATGTGCCGCCCGGCGAGGTGGTGGGAATACCGGTGGACATCATCGCAACAGATGATACGGGCTCAGCTACGATGGCGGCCACACTGGTGGTAACTAGAAGACCGACACCCAAACTCAACATCCCATTATCCGAACAAATACAACGATTCGGTGATACATCGTCGCCATCTGCCTTCGCGGCCTTCCCTGCATCTGATTTCTCATTCTCCTTCGCCAAGGATACCTTTTCCTATGTCGGAGACGGGCTGAACTACTATGCTACGTCGGCAGACAACAGCCCTCTACCATCCTGGATCAAGTTCGATGCCAGCAGCCTTACATTCACGGGGAAAACCCCATCGTTCGAGTCATTGCTTCAACCGCCCCAGAAATTCGATTTCAGTCTCTCTGCGTCTGACATAGTTGGCTTCTCGGCCGTATCCGTCGTGTTCTCCATCGTTGTTGGCGTCCATAGGCTCACATCAGACACACCTATCATTCGAATCAACGCGACTCGGAAGACAGAGATATCCTACACGGCTCTGGCTAGCAGTATCAAACTGGACGGCAACGCCGTTGCGCCAGCCGATCTTGACCTTTCCCCATCTGAACTACCGAGCTGGCTCTCGGTCGATAATACAACACTCGAGATACAAGGAACCCCCCCTGATGATGCGCAATCTTCAAACTCGACACTCACTTTCCGAGATAATTACGCCGATACCCTCGACATTCTTCTGTCCGTCACTATTATAACCCAAATCTTTCGTAATACAAGCTTGGCATTCGAAGCTACACCGGGAAAGAAGTTCTCATTTGATATTGGACCCTATCTCTTGCTGCCTTCAGATATCGAGCTAGAACTCGACACTCCGGAATCTTGGATCAAAGTTGAGGGGCTAGTTGTGTCAGGAACGCCTCCTAGAGCTACCTTGCCTGGAAAAACCAAGATTCTTCTGAAGGCAACATCAAAGAGCTCCCAGGAATCCGAGACAGCGACAGCGGATCTCACTATACTTCCTGTGCCCGCCATCTCTTCGACTGTTCCCACGCCTTCAGTCAAGCCAACGAACCCAGCGACCAGCGATCACTCCAAACATGGTTTCCAACCAGGCTACATTGTCCTCGCCATACTGCTTCCCCTGCTGATCCTCGCCATTGCTGCTTTCTTGATCATTTGCTGTCGCAGGAGGAGGCGACAAGAATCGGCCCACGACGGTCTCAAAAACAAGATTTCTGATCCTGTACCCGGCTCATTTGTGATAAACGGCGAAACACATAGCAGAGATGGGTCTGAACAGTCCATTATTGGGAGAATGAAGTCGGTCGGGAACAACCGACATAGCCGAGGGTATTTCAACTCCGCCGTACAAAGAATGAGGCAATCAAGAACATTATCGACCATCACTGGATCCCGTATGTCCCAGTCGAACAACCGCTCATCCTATATCTGGAGATCATCCGAACGAAGCCCAACGCGGTCCGCGTCCTTCACATCTTCTTGGCGCACCGAGGGCGTAGGTTTTGAGCCTCAGCATACGCAAGAGCGATCGACGAGCTCCTACGAGAGCTCGAACGATGTACTTTCCGACTCTCCTGGTATTCCTCAAGGCCCACGAGATGACTCATTCCGAAGTGTACTTGACGTCACTATCCCATCCATGGGGGAAGAGACTAGCAGTATCCAAGCAACACCGGATTTGGCTTACTCAAGCCCTTGGGGAGAACCTTCCAGGCTAGCTCTTGATCGGTCGCTGCTACTACCTGCTGCCAGTGGAACTGAAAGTCTAGCATCCATACCAGAGCAAGTCACGCCGCAGAAGTCGAATCTCAAGCACGGTAGGACGCTCTCGCCTGCGCAACGGTCAAGGAAGAGACTTTCAGGTTTGAATGACTTTGGGACGTTGAGCAGCTCCCGCAGCTCCAGGTCTGGTTCTGGACGCGGCAGGTTGCGCCGACCGGAATCAAAGCAAGAATCACGCTATGGGTCAATATCGCGGCCTGTTAGCAGAAAGTCGGACTCCAGCCCCTTTTTTGGCGGCGGGTCGGTTGTGCCATCTCGCAATCGATACGTCTTGGACAGCGATGACTCCGACGCAACACAATCGCCGAGGGGGACAATATACTGGAAAAAGGAACCAAAGAGAAATACTCTCGGCGTTGCATACGATGAGCTGAGCCGGAGCTCACTATACCTGAGACCATCATTATCTCCTCGACCACTTAGCATTGTCAAGAGAGATTCAAGCGGGGCAAGACGCTTGAGGGACAGCCGAGCCGGCAAGCAGACGCCTTTGTCACGACATTCATCATCCAGCTCGAACATCTTGGGTGGCGGCTGGAATAGAGATTCTTTCGCGCAGCAGGACGCCTCTGGGAGCCGTCCAGGCTACGCATCGTCAAGGGCGAGCAGCGAAGTTCTGGGCAAAGGCAAGGGGTTGGTCTCGTCGGGACATGACTCGGAAGATTCTGACTGGACGACGGAGACAGGGACAGTGGGGAAAGGGGGTCCTCGGAGTCGGCTGAACAGCAATGAGGATTTCCGTGTATTCATGTGAGGATGAGGGGCATTTTCCCCCTCTTGTCCCATAACACACTTGTCTCTCGTTGGAAAGCGTTGCGATTTGTTATACCCGCCGAGGAGTTCGAATACTCGGTGTCACTTTATATTGTAGTTGTAATGGAATAGGGGAAGGGGCAATTATGGGATGGTCGACGTATTGTTTCGAAAGTCAGAGACGAGTGGGAAAGTGCAAACATCATTCATCACCCTAGACAGGGTACCCAGATCGTAATGTTGAATTGGCGATGCAACAAAAGTATATCAGAGAGGACAATCAACTATTACCGGTATTCCCCGCAGACCCTTTTTTTTTTCCAATTGTTTTTTTCCCATCCTCTCTTGTTTTAGTGTACTACGTAAGTAGACCGAGTCTGTGCTTTTCTCTCGTTTCCGGGACCAGGCTCGAGAAGGGTCTTGTGGGGGCGGGCGCATGCCCAACACGCATTGCGGAAGTTTAGCCACAACTTAGCTAAGCTGGCCTGAAAAGGACTAGAGCGAATCGGCGCCCCGAGGTTGTAGAAGGGAGGAAGGAGTCCACCCCACCACCGTTGGCGCTCTAAGGAGGGGCCACGGGGCCAAGCCTTTAGGGGTTAAATGGGATTTTCCGAGGGTGAGGCGAGAGAGCTTGGACCTCATTGCCAGCTCATTTTCGTCTGCTTCAGGTCCTAGCTTCGCTCGGGTTGAGAGGGGGATCACTACCTAGCATACACTGGAACAAGAGAGGGGGATGGGATTCTCTGTCTTTAGCTGCAGTGATCGAGAGAGGGGTGGGAGGGGGCCCTTGCATGCATGGGGCAACAGATATGACAGGTGGGTAATCGTTGTAGTAGTAGGCTGGCTTGACTCAACATGATGGAAGCCTCTGACCTCTAGTTGGTTATTGTGTTTTACGAGAGGCAGAACTGCACACAGATGACACAGAACCATTTCTTCATTAACCCCTCAGTTTTGAAAAGACTTCGTTGTGAAGGGATTAGGACAACAGACGGAATCGGTATGAAGTATGATCAGCACCCACCTATGCCATGACGCAACTGTAGCAGAGAGAGGGGGGGAAAGGGGGGAGGGGGAGAGACAAATAAATAAAAACTTGTCTCTTCGCGGCAGGTCCTTTCCTTTCACATCGGGTCCGTGAATGTTGCACCTTTTCTCCGAACAGCTTCAAAATGACGATATTGCAATTGCTGCATAGCTGAGCGCATCTGTTGCTCCGTTCCATTGGTCGGCAGGCCGTTGCCAGGCGATGGGGCAAATATGCAAGCGAGAGCATACTACGTAGAGCAAGAGCAAGAGAACGGAAAGTGCATGGAACACCCCCTTTGGAGGTCGGTCGGGTCAGCTAAGGCAACGTGACTTCATGGTGTTGTTGGTGCAAAGCAGTGGAGGCGACAACAAGACAGCCAGCATCACCTCACTGGGCAGTGTGCCCTCTCAGTTCGCCTCACAGTCTCGTCGCCAAGTGGCCTTTCATTTTCAACGGATTCCTAAATCTCGCCCTTCCCTACCTGGGCCCTAGCCTTAACACCTTCGTCCTAATTGCTTGGTGGTTGCGCTTTTGCTGGCGGTACGTACCCCTTTGGACTCACCTTACAACCAGCTGCCAGCCAGCCAGCCAGCCAGGGAGAGGAGAGAGGCAAGCAACTTCTGCCCCAATCTAGGTACTTTACCTACCTAGGTAGGTAGGTAGCCCAGCCTGCTGTCCGTCCTGTCCCTTCCTTCCGTTGCTTGCGCCTTCTCCGTATCGCACAAACTCCCCCAAGAGAGTGCCACCGCACGCGACCTGACCTGCCTGCCTGTCTGCGTTGCCTACCTGCCTCCTACTTCGCCGTCACCACCACCCATCCATGTGGAAAACTCTTCTTGCTCACAACCTCACCCACACCACACCGAGCTACGATTGAGTTCGGCTCTTTTTTTCCCTTTTCCTTCCTTCCTCCCTCTCCCCCTTTTGCGCAACAATATCATTTTCGCGCAACAATTCCTTCCCCCGACCTCGATCCTCCCTCCCTCTCTCAGAAAACCACGCCCAACACCTCGCGGGGATCGACGCCTGTCCCCTGCTATTTCCCTTGCGATTCGGATACCCCGCTTCCTGGCCGAGTGTGCGCGATCTAGAACCTTTTGCTACCGCACCGCACCGCACCGCACCACCTTCCTTCACCTCGCCTCTAATTTTTTCTCCCAGCTTTCTTGCGCACTGCACGACCGGCTTTGAAAACTTTTACTGGCTGAGATATCGACCTGCACCCGACCAAAAATTGACCGGCCGAATACCCGTCAAACCCGGTAGCTGTGCTGCTGACTCTTCGAATCCCTCACCATGGGTCAAACTCTCTCCGAGCCCGTTGTCGAGAAGGTATGTCATGATCCCGCTCCTGCGCCCAAGCCAGCCAGACCAGCCCAGTTCTTCTCTGCTCTGCCTACGCGCCGCCTTGCCTAGTACGCAGCCTCCAAAACCCGTCTGCTCCCTGCTGCTCTCGGTGTCTTTGGGCACGGTCAGCCATGGAGATAATTCCGAACCCCGCTTGGCTTGCTCTTTGCTTCTGGCGATACTGCGCGGGCAGCCAAGAGGGTAAGGTAAAGCGGCTTGGGGCTTTCGGTTCGACAATCTTCATCCACAATGATGTACAGTCAGCATCTTGAGGATCCAGTTCACTGACTCCAGTCCCACCACCACAGAGCTCGGCCAAGGGCGAAGATGAACGCCTCCTCTACGGCGTCTCGGCCATGCAAGGTTGGCGCATAAGCATGGAGGATGCCCATACCACTGTCCTCGATCTTTTACCTCCCGGCAGCGACGAAGCTAAGAAGCACGAGTCAAAACTCTCTTTCTTTGGAGTCTTTGACGGCCACGGTGGTGACAAAGTGGCCTTATTCGCCGGAGAAAACATTCACGATATCATCAAGAAGCAGGAGACCTTTAAGAAGGGCAACTACGAGCAGGCGTTGAAGGATGGCTTTCTGGCGACGGACCGCGCAATTCTCAATGGTAATAGCCCGAATCTTTCAGTTCCATGACGCTCTGGAGGGCTTTCCCTTGCAGCAGAGGCCGTCCCTCAAATCTACACATAATGTATGTGCTGACAGTCGGGTTCATTCAGACCCCAAATATGAGGAGGAGGTGTCTGGCTGCACTGCCTGCGTTAGCCTGATCTCGGATAACAAGATCTACGTGGTACGTTGAAGCCCATTCTATTCTGCGCCATATCTTCATATCACTGACAGCTTTGTGGACAGGCAAACGCCGGTGACTCGAGAAGTGTCCTCGGTATCAAGGGTCGGGCTAAGCCCCTGTCCCAGGACCACAAGCCGCAGCTCGAGGGTAAGTACTTACCCGTGGTATGCGCAACTCTGAAGGCTGACTTGTACCCTCCTCAGCCGAGAAGTCTCGTATCACGGCCGCTGGTGGCTTCGTCGACTTTGGCCGTGTTAACGGCAACCTTGCGCTCTCCCGAGCCATTGGCGACTTCGAATTCAAGAAGAGCGCAGAGCTCTCCCCGGAGGCCCAAATTGTTACCGCCTTTCCCGATGTCGAGACCCACGAGATTAGCGATGACGATGAGTTTTTGGTCATTGCATGTGACGGTAAGCAACAAAATGCTAGTTCCGGACACGGGCCTGGGGATCATTGGCTGACACTATCTTCAGGTATCTGGGACTGCCAGTCCTCTCAGGCGGTTGTCGAGTTTGTTCGACGCGGTATTGCAGCCAAGCAGGAGTTGGATAAGATCTGCGAGAATATGATGGACAACTGCTTGGCTTCCAACTCGGAGACTGGTGGTGTTGGCTGCGACAACATGACCATGGTCATTATCGGTCTTCTGCGCGGCAAGACCAAGGAAGAGTGGTATGAGGAAATTGCCAAACGGGTTGCTGCTGGAGACGGACCTTGTGCCCCTCCCGAATACGGTACGACTGAACCTGAATCCACCTCCTCTTAAGGCGTTGGACGCGCGCCAATACCTCCACCCACATGTTCTGAGACACTGTTCTCTTTCCCGTTTAATACAACCGTTATCCCCTTGTTGTTACGGTACATCTGTTTTGTGTCCCAGATTTCTTTCTCTCGTTCCTTTCCTTTTTCTTTATTTTTTTTTTGTCCAGAGGAGGAGAGCTGATTCGTAGCCTGCAACTAGCTGAATTCCGTGGCCCGGGAGTTCACCACAACTTCGACGACAGCGACAGTGGCTACGATGTAGATGTTGAGAATAAGGGCAAGCCGTTTGGCATTGGCGGCTATAAGGGTCGTATCATTTTCCTTGGTGATGGCACTGAGGTCCTGACCGATTCCGATGACACCGAGATGTTCGACAACGCGGAGGAAGACAAGGATCTCGAAAGCCAGGTGTCCAAAGCTTCCACAGCAACAAGCAAGGACGGCGAGACTGACGACAAGTCAGCCACGAAGCCAGCGCAGGAGAGCAAGGCAGGTGCGGACAAGGCCAAGGAGGAGTCAAAGCCGGTCGCAACCTCTGAAGCGGCAGAGTCGAAGAAGACCGACAACAAGGAGAAGTAAATTGGGCGACTTGAGGGATCAACTTTGCTTTGATGAATGATGCTGTGTGGACGTGCATGCTGGCTCGGAATTGATCGGACTATGGATCCGTATGACTTGAAGAGATTCGAAAGACTTTATACGGCTTGGCTGGGATGAAATGACTGAAATGCTTCCTCTTGTTTCTTCATCATATTGAGGGTCCGGACCTTCGACAGGTTTGCGAAAGGGGGCACGGAAGCAGTCACTGCGGCCAAAGGGAACGGAGGACGGCTGACCGCAGGTTAAAGAAGGCTGAAGATTCACCTGTGTGTCATAGCTCGCGGCCCTCCCGTGGGCCCATGTAGTGGCACACCTTACACATCAATTCATTTGCATAAACACGTGCTTTTTCGGCATGGGCCTGGCACTGATTGTGAAAGTCAACCAATAGTTGTTTCAACGTTTATCATACAGCCACAAGGCGTTTGATTAGGGCCCTGGTACGGTGGTGCTTTTGCCACGGAGCATTGTAAGCCAACCGGTCGACCCATCGGCTGCCTAATCTTCCCCTCAAGCAGCCTATTCAACGGCAACGCCGCAGGTTGTCACAACCTGTTTATCTCTAGACCTCTTCTTCTTCGACTGTATGGCTCAGCGAGTTATCACCCTTGTCCTGTTTTCTCTCGGACGAGTGTTTCAGAGAGGCTACTGTACTCGGATCCTGCACCGTGGCGTGGATAACCATATATATATATATATATATGGTTAATGGGAAATAAAGAGTTGTCTAAAGTGATTCATTCCATCGGAAATTTGGGGTTTAATACAGGTTCTATAGGTGTTATCTAGCGAACATGTGTGCGGTGTTGTACAGGAGGCCTCTTTATACATAATGGCCATGGCCTTGCTACTTGTATGGCGCAAGGAGTGTGCTTTTTCTACGCAAAGCTCGACGCTTTCAAGGGCCGATGTTCTTCTCAAGATCAGCGACGGTGGTCTCGGGGGTCTGCTCGTCGGGAAAAGCGCTCTTGTCGCTGTCGACAGGAGCGACATACTTGATGATCATATCAAGACGTGGACATTGTGGAGGATCGGTGCCCCGCATCCGAAGCCTCGGTCGAAGGGATATCGGCTTGCCAGGCACAGTAATCTCGTGCGACAACTCGCCCTGCTGCTTGACTTGCTTGACCGCCCGGAGGATTCGGCTGTCGTCCCCCCACACTGCGTCCAGGACCTCGTGGAGGGGCTCATCAGGACGCCACTCCTTGAACTGTTTGTGCATAAGCCTAGCAATCTCAAAGCCAGCACGTTTGATTCCTGACAGTTTCATGTCTTGTGGACAAAAAGTAGGCAATGCCAGAAAATTTGCGACTGTCGGTTTGCCATCCGTATTGATTTTGAACCCCATTTGGCTCTGTATCATCATACGGGTAACGTGATTACGCATGTGCCAGGTGGTCTTGCCTTCCACGCAGGCGTAACGCCATATGATACCCATGGCGTTGGGCCTGCGCATCCTAAACGCCAAAGTGAACAGCTCATGGTACGTGTTCTCGTCGTACCCGATTTTGAGCATGGATGCCTTGCGGAGGAAGGCCAGGGTGACAGTCAAGTTCTTCTGCCACCGCGCATGTTGCAGAACCATGTTAAGTGTTACGGTGGTGGGGGTCATGGACATTTCGGCCATGATGTCGAAGAGATCTAGACAGGAGGTAAAGTCGTTCAGGCGTGCGAGCTCGACCATGATGCTGTCCATGGCGGGTTTTGAGACCCAATATTTGCCATACTTGGCGTCCTGGCTTTCGAGAAACTCCCGCAGGCCGGGCCATTTATTTCGGACATGGCGGGTGTCATAAGCAACCAGTTCCTTTGCAATGAGTTTAACGGTGATTGGATCCAGGAGCAGACCGAGTGAATGCATGAGCTGAATCACATGGCGGCGGACTTTTTCACTCTCCACGAGCTGGAGAAACAGCAACCAGGTCTGAGCGTTCGGCAGGCAGCCGTGGTGAACCATCAACTTCAGGATAGAGTCAAAGTTGTATAGGTCCTTGACCTTGACATTTCCGACCAGAAGGGTATTGAAGGTGCCAGTGTCAACCGGTGGCAAGGTTAGTTTCAATTTCTTATCGAAAAACAACTCGCGGGCATCATGGCGATACGAATGGCCGTGGGACTCAATGAAGCGCAACGCCTGCTTGAATGCACGCCTCGAGTGCGCCTTGCTCGCAGTTTGGTCAGCGAAGGCCGCTTTGAGGAGAGCTATTGCTGCTTTGGTTGCTGTGGTGCCCGAGCCGTAAAACTTGGACGCGAGGCGATCAGGGAGTTTTGCGTTCGTGATAGCGGTGATATAGGCCAGAAACGTCCCAGGAGTCCAATCTTTAGGCTTCGGAATCTTATGGTAAGGCTCAGAATACTCATAATAATGAACATAGCCCGGACGCTGCTTTCCCACGGAGCTCTTCCACACTATCTCTTCCGTAGACGATGCCGGCTTTTCGGGCTTAGCCGAAGAGGCCTGGCTGTCGATGGATTGGCTGCCAATGGCTCCTTCTATGCTTATCCTGCAGCTATTTCGAATAGCAATTCGGGAGATCTCTTCGGCCGCATGCTCTAACGCCTCCTCGTCTCCTGAGAGTAGCAGGTAAATCCCATGGGTTTGCCGTCTTCCGTTGTCGTTCTTTGGCCAATGAAGCTCGATATGACAACGTGTCTGCTCGTGTATGTCCCAAATAGTGTTGTCTACTTCGTATAGCAACTTGTTCCCAAGCGCTGGCTCAACTAAGATTTTGCGCGCATGAATCTGCCATGGGCCCCTGATCGGCCGGGTCCGCAGTCGGAGAATGTCCAAAGTATCACGCCAGTTGATGACGGGTCGGTTCTTTATTTGATGGATGGACTGGAGCCGCAACTGTCTTTTCACGCCATCAAAGGCTCGCCCCAAACTCATATCCATCTGTCGGCGGGAGTTGTATTGTAGAGGAGGCGCAACTAGCACGGAATCGTATTGTATGGGTGCCACTGTGCTGTTGACATTCTCCGACTGTACTTCCTCTCTTTCCTGTCTTTGGGAACCATGCTTCTTGGGGCGAGTAACGTTATGGATTTTTCTGAATCGTAGAGGCTGCTGCATGTCTTCGGTGGGGGTATACGTAGTCGCAGGTGTGGACGAATGTGTGTCGCCGGCCGAACGTTGACCATGTGTTGTCGATATTGTCCGATTCTCTGTCAACACTGACAGCTGTAGCTCGTTTGCTCCTGTCTCGAAGGCCCGATCGATATCCTTGGCTTCTTCCTTGCTGGTCCATCGTTCTTTGGGGGGGCCGGCGGCATCAACTTCCGGTTGCTTGCCTGTCCCCTGGGCAGGGGCGTCGTGACTTTCTTGTTCGACCGTACTCTCTGACTTCGTCTCGCGATGCGATGCGATACCCTCGTCGAGCCTGTCTTGGGTGGCATCGGAAGCTGCGTGCATCCATTGACGAGAGAGCGACAGTTGAGCCGATGACGCCTGAGGCCATCTTCGAGGACCCCTAGGAATCAGAAAGATCCCAGGAATACCAATGCGCTTGAATTCGGCTTTCCACGGTAGCGTTGTTCGCAGGGACATTTGTCTGAAGGGCCGGCCCATATTGCATTCTGGGCTCGCACTTTATTGTATTGGGTAATGGCAGGTATATGGTCAAGTTTGAGCTAGAGTCGCAAAGGTAGGAGAAATTTCCACTTCGCGCCGATCGATACCGGCCCCGTCCCAGCTCCACTCTGCTGTACGTACTTGTGTTGCAGGGATGATGTATCTTGAATGATCGAACGGGCTTCTGGACTGTGGAGAGAACGCTTCTTGTGATATAATACACTATAAGAACTAGCAAAATTTTATGTGTGAAGCTGGGTATACAAGAAGAGTATTTCTCTCCTCATCCTCATTACTTACTTGGCGATCCAGGCAAGGCGCCAGAGTTGACGTGTGCCGGGCCGCTCTGATCAACGCCTTGCCAACTCTCGTTCCAACCCTCATTTTCTGCCACAGCGTGCTTAGCTTCGCCATTCTCTGCCAAGCCCTTGACGTCGCTCCAATACGACAATCGTTTTACCTCCTCATCGGCGTGCTTGATAGCCGCAGCGAGATGCTCCTTTCTCTCCTTGGCCATGCCATTGTCGCCGTCCTGCTCCTCATCTGCGGCGATCGCATCATCATAGATCTGCGTCAAGCGACTCAGCAGAAGCCTTCTTGAGGCCTGGAAAACGAAAATGCCCATAATATCGTGCATCTCATCTTGCAAGTGCTCGAGGTTGTCTTTTGCGTGTGCCAGATAGTTTTCGACGGCCTCAATCTTCTCGCGGTCGATCCGCGAAGCTCGCAGAACCGCCATGAGCGTCCATACATCCTCGATGTCAGGCTTCTCCTCCACCACACTCGTCTGCATGCTCGTCTTGCCGACGCTACCTCGCCTGCTGCCCGCTACGCTCGATGAGCGGCTGTGGTTGGCAGGCGTTACTGTGAAATAATCCGAGTTCAGCATATGGGGGTCATCTGAAATGTTCTCGGGTTTCTTCTTGATTCGCTTGCGAACCCAGCATCTCCTGCGAACGAATGAGTTCCACCACTTCGGGCCATGCCAGGAAAACTTCTTGGAGAACATGAACGAGTATTCCCATCCGTATTCATCCGCGGTGACGCCTTCGGGTCGATGGACCCTCCACTCAGGCCATGCCCACTCCCATGATGGATCGGGAACTTGGGCCGTCTTGATCGTCGTGGGACTTGTCTTGTGAAACTGGTTCTGCCATGGCGAGGGGTCGAGGTTGCCCAGAGCCTTCCCAGAAAATAGGGCGATGCCGCAGGCTATACAGCCTCTCTCGTTCTCCCACAGGACGTCGACGGCCGTTTCTCGCTCTGCTGTTGCAGGCCTTGCTCTTTGGGTATCATTTCTTACGGGCATTGGACCCTCCTGCGGCGTGGGTTCTACATGCGGAGGAATATGAGGATACTTGCTTAGGATTGGTGTGGGCACAAGACGGTCTTACCTTCGACTTGGATTGATGGTGCGTTGGTAGCGGCGATGGTTTGAGGCTCGAGCATTAGCGCACCCTTTCGTTTCGCGGGCTTGGGCTGCTGGTTCTGTTCTCGTTCTATTGATTGCCGATAGGGGCCAGAATCATGGCCAGCGTCGCAGTCCGTAGCGCCGTTCGCGCGTGCATTTACATCATCGCCCCCCTCTTGATCTTCATCTTGAAGCAGTCGTGATCGGGTTGATGCGCGCGTAACTCGGCCAATGGTCTCGATGCTCGGGGACGCGACGCGGTCGTCGTGATTGACAAGGTTAATCTCGTGGTCGTAGTCACTATCTTTGAGGCCGGTAACTCGACGAGAACTTCGAAATGATGGCATCGCTACGTATCACAGCTTTTGCATGCCGGATTTCAACAGGTTTCCACCTTAACGTGGCCCCAATAACCAGCGCGCCACCACAGGAGTCGCCGTTGCTCTTAGGAAACGGAGACGCAAGTGGGGAAGATGGAATACCGAGCCGGACGTAATCTAGCTTCGCAGAGACAACAAGGGCGTTTCTTCTGGAATGTTGAACGCGAAAGTCTGACTACCCAAACATGATGCCGGCCCACGGCTGTGTAGAGGCGATGTTGCCAGTGGCCCCGTCGAAGGGTGTTATGGGGAGGAAAGGGTCGTGACGAGGAAGGAATCCCAGATGGTGAGACTATTACGACTGCGTGCTGCGAAGTATAGTCCACGGAAGTCAATTGAAAACCGCTCGTTCGGACCTGGTGTGGGCTAGACCTCCATCGCCTAACAGGGACCGATTGAAGACTCAGAACAAGGCTAGCACGATGCAGGCGCAGGGCGGCTGGATGGCGAAGCGACGGCCTGGAACAGAGATTGGATACGGGCTGGCTCAAGCGCTTTCACAAGCGACGGGGCCAGGGCAGGAAATGGTGCGCCGATGATGTAATGTCTGCGATGTCACAGCTGAGCGTCGTGCACCCTTGTCACCCAGCTTTGCGTGCCACAGAGCACAGCTAAACCGTGCCAGGACGCAATGGGCGGCGGTTTAGCCGGCACAAGAGTCATCTGGGATTTGGAGCTTTTGAGAAAAGAGAAGAGGTAATTCCCTTTGAGAATGACAGTTGGTTCTCTGAGCTTTAATCAGTGTAAACTACCTACCTAGGTGTGACGCTGGAAGATCCAGTGATGCGATGGTCCGGGCGTTTGATGAGTTAGGTAGTTAGCATGAGTTGGAAGCTCCGAAACGGTCATCTCTAAGCATATGGTCTGTGCACGCTTTAGGTGGAGCATAGCTAAGAGCGGTGGGGGGCAAGCTACCTACCATTCCCCGCATTTATGCCGCTCTACGTCATGTGTTCTTCATCCCTTCACGTCAACCATCAGCTTCTGTAGCTCCTACCTGATAGCCGAAGGTGTAGGTAGGTCAGCTAAGGTCACTCACTGGTTACCAAGGAGTGGGAAAAGGGCATAGCCGCGCAGAATGAGACAAGAACTTGTAGCACCCGTGATTCGGTAGTACTAATAGATCATGCCATCCTTCGTGACGAGCACAATCCTGCTTTCTTCCTCTCTCTCGCTTCAATCAGCCAAAGCCTCCCATCTCGACCATAAACCTACAGCTCAGTTCAACCCAGAAACAGCTCATCACATATCTCTACAGACCCATCGAAACAATCAACATGTCCAAGTCCAAGGCTCCCCTCTACCTCGGCCTCACTGCCGCCGGTGGTGTCGGCTACTACCTCTACAGTGCTGGCGGTAACCCGAAGGCCGCCGAGGCCAAGTTTGAGAGTATGTCCTCATCACTCGTTATCTCCCCGCCGCAAATCAATTCCTAATCAATCCGTCAACAGGCGACGTTCACAAGGCTTCCGCCGAGGTCAAGTCGCACCTTCCCGGCGGCCGCACCCCCGACGCCCAGAACAAGGGCGCTCAGGTTGGTGCGAAGCTTGACAAGGCTGGCGCAAAGCTCGACTCTGCTGTACGTTTCCCCGCACTCGTTGCTCTATCAAATGTTGGGTAGGATTCAATTGGGCTGGCCGACTAATTCCTCCTGTAGGTTGCCCAGGCCGACAAGAAGTTCTCCGCGACCAAGAGCAACGTTGAGGCATATGCCAAGGATGCCAAGGCCGAAGCCCTGAAGAAGGTCGATGCTTTTGACAAAAAGATTGAGGATGAAGCCGCCAAGGCCAAGAGCGGCATCTCCAGCTGGTTCGGCGGAAAATAAGGGTGCCGGAATATAATGGTTTCTCAACTTTTTTATTCCCCCCCCCTTTCTTCTTATACGGGTGCATCATGATATCGGGGCATCGGTTGCGGTTTTCGTCCTTATTTCTTAGCAGGGTCAGGCGTCTTTCGTGACACAAACGAATTTTAATACATTTGACTCAATTTGGTTGGAAGCAGTCAGCTGGCTTCCTTCCCAATGGTATCCCTTTGTTTGCGCCCGGTGATGTTACGAACGACCAACTTTCCTCTATTCCCGGCGCGTCAGACCTATTTTAATACACATACGTTTTACATAACTTCATTTCTCCAACGCATCTGCCACCATTTTCAGGACTTCTTCCGTGCCTTTCCTGGCGTTGACAGGCTGCTTGGCGATCGCCTGCCAGTATTCGCCGTGGCGGGGCTCGTTCAAGACACACTTATTGATTACATCCGCTCGTTTCTCCTGAGATCCAGTTAGTACATGAACAAGAGGCTCGAGCCTGGCAACTCGTTAACTTACGTCCGTACCATGCTGGAGCAGGAACCTGTAATACCAAGCCCAGGTGTCGCCGTTGTCGCTGTCCAGGACCAGCGCCTTTTCGAACCAGTTCTGGGCTTTCTCGAGCTTACGTTCGCCCCAGAAGATGCGAGCCACAGCCACAAAGAGTATAGGGTCGTTGTCCACCTTTTTGATGGCCTCCAATGACCGCGGCTTTCGTTGGGTTCGTGGCTCCAAGTGCCAAATCTGCTCACTCCAAAGGAGACCGCTTTTGGGCACCTCCTGAAGTGCCTTGGCCATGAGTGACTTGGCCTGGTTGACGTTACCCGCACGCCGCTCGATGCGAACGGACTCGCACCAGAGCTCTGGTGATTTGGGAACAGCTAGGCGGGCTCGGTCGAGAACACTGCGAGCCTTGACGACCAGCCCGGCCTTCTCCTCAAGGCGAGAATAAAGAAGCCATAGGGGAACAGACTTAGGTACCGCCTTGACGCCTGTGCTGTATGCCTCCCGTGCCTGGCCGACCTTCCCAAGATCTTCGTAAATCTGTCCCTTGAGCATCCACAACTTGGCGGTGGCTGGGAAGTACTGTAGAGCCTGCTGGACAAGATCTAATGCTGCTTCGCCGTTGCCCAGTACTCTCTCGAATACTACACTCTTCATCCATACACGATCCGTCGGGGCTTGGTCTCGGGCTTCCTCCAGCAATTTCCGAGCGCGCTCGGTTTCTCCGTTCTCGGCTTCAAGCTTAACCGCGGCGAGCCAGATATCTTCATTGTCCGGATTTGATTTGAAAGCCCTGGCGAGTACCAATCTGGCATTGTCGACTTCGCCGGCTTGCCACTTCTCCTTAGCTAGCATCATCCATAGCACTTCGCTCTTGGGGCATGCTTCGACAGCCTTTTCCAACACCTGAGCAAGCGATTCCTTTGTTCCATGGTTTCTCTCCAAATCGGCGGCTGCCATCCACAACGTCCTGCTGTTGACGAAAACACGCAGCGCGTAGGAGTAGATAGCACGCGCCGTCTCGTACATGCCGCGGTTGATACTGCTCTTTGCGTCCTCCATCCAGGTATCCTTGCGATCATCGTCTTCGTCCAAACCGTAGCCCAAAGTTTCTCTGATGATATTTCCACATGTGATGACGGCACCCTCCTCCTCGCACTTCTCAGCTTCTGCAATCCATTCCTCGCGTTTTGGCATGGCAGATTCCTTGACGAGAACCGCAACGGCGCGCTTCATGACATTCACCTTAGTGCCCTCACCCAGTTGTTCCTGCAAACGAGCAGCGGCGATCCAAATTTCGTGAGAAGTAGGAACCGCTTTGCGTGCCCTGTTGAGAACCTTTTGGGCGTTTTCGGGGCTTTCCAGTCTTGCCAAAGCCAACCACAGATCAACGGATAGGGGTATAAGCTCGGTTGCCTTGGCCAGCAGCAACCGAGCATCTTCCGGATCTTCTTCAAGGTTGACCGCTTCTTTCCAGAGGGCCTCGGATTCGGGGATATGATCTAGGGCAAGTCTGATTACTCTCTTCTTCGCCCTGGACTCGTTTTCCAGCCTCATCGCCTCGACCCAAAGGCGTACGGACCGGTCGTTCTTCTTGATAGCTTCCGCAGCAATGATCTTGGCATTCTTGCCCTCGTTGAGTCGAATGTTTTCCAGCCAGACGTCTTCGCTTTTAGGGCAGTGTGTACATCCTCGTGCTATTACGTTGCGCGCTGCAACCGTCTTGCCTGCCAGCTCCTCCAGTCGTGCTGCAGCAATCCAACCAGGTGCGTTACTCGGGTTGGTCTTGATGACCGATGTCAAAAGTTCACGTACACGGTTGATATCACCAACCTGAGCTTGAGACTCGCTGAGAACGCTCTTGTTCAAGCTGGTAATATAGCCCTTGGGATCGATGGTTGATGCGCTGCCAGCGACCGACTCAGTGCCATCCAGGGAGGCTTGTTCAAGTCTTGACTTCAGAACCTTGTCCCTTGCGGCACCAATCTTTGCGAAATTCGTCATGGTACCATCTGCTGCGTCGGCGCTTGATGCAGTGCCATCCTCTGCAACGGTGGTACCCAGTTCGGACGAGTCTCGCGCGGCGGCGAGGACGCTGTCAGGAACCGCGTAGAAACGTTGCCGCAGGTTCTGTTTACTTCTGCGGTTTTTTCCTGTCAAATCTCCAACCTCGGGGAGGTTTGCCCATTCGTCATCTGTGACTGTTGATAGCGCTCGCTTGAGGTCGGCGAATTGTTGCTGGATCTTGGGGTTCTTCCGCTCGTATTCCTCCTGTTCGGCCTTTTCGCGCGCTTCTCGTTGTTTTTGTCGCCTCCTTGCCATCTTCTCGTCCACCTCCTTCCATATCCTGTCGGCCTCCTCGTCGTCTTTGTCATATACGCCGCCGGCGAACAGGCCAACCTCGTTATCGGGATCTTTGAAGCGGTCGTCGTCGTCATTATCATTTTCGTCTGCCTTCTTTCCGTCAGTTCCCAGTCCCAGTTGCGCGGCACGCTTTGCGACGGCTTCCTTGATCTGGTCTTCGGTTGGTCCTTCGCGTGCAGGGCCCAAATCGGATCGCGTCGTGAAGCCAGTGGCACCTCGACCAAGACCGGCAACATAGTTCTCTGGCGCCGGCTGGCTCAAAAAGTCGCGTCTTCCAGACATCGTTTCAAGTGCGCAGCTCTTTCGCGTAGAGGCGGTAAGAATGAGAGAATGCGCACCGTCTGGTAGTGTTGTAGGAAAGGTAAGTAGATCTTGTGAGCGGCAGCTCCAGAGCTGCCAGTTGCGCAAGGCTGAAGTGGCACCAAAGTTTTTAAGCTGCCGAATCCCTGCCGCCACTGTCTTTTGGTGGGTATGGCCCACTAAATTTTCCAAAAGGCTGCCCCTCCGTCTTCACCGCAGACTTCTACATCGTTGGTTTGTAGGATTTGCTGTCGACACACTGCTCTGAAAACTTGTTGCAGATCCCTTATCAGCTCACCTTTGTTTCTCATTTCTCATTGCCGCAAAGACAGAATTTTCACAGCTGTCTATATACTATGGGCAAAGCCAAAGCCCCAAAGCGGAATGCCGCCTCCTCATCGTCAGGTCCCTACTCTCGACCCTCCCAAAAGACCAACAACGTATTTAAGTTCAACGTATGTCGGCTGCATTGATGTTTATGCATGGCTTCTAACATCTACGTAGACAAATGTCGGTCAGCATATTTTGAAGAACCCCGGCGTGGCGGACGCGATCGTACATGTACGCCCAGACAGTTCTCGCCGACGAAGAAGCGCATGCTAAATATATCCATATAGAAAGCCGAGCTCAAGCCCACGGATACTGTTCTGGAAATTGGTCCCGGGACTGGCAACCTGACGGTGCGGATATTGGAAAAGTCAAAGAAGCTTATAGCAATCGAGTTTGACCCCCGAATGGCAGCCGAAGTCACAAAGGTTGGAGGCCACGCAGCCAGGTGGATTTCAAAAGGCTGACGGAGTATACAGCGTGTGCAGGGAACCCCCGAACAGCGAAAGCTCGAAGTTATGCTTGGAGATGCCATCAAGGTGAGTTCTATTCTAGGTCCTGAGATCGGGTTTCGCGAGCGCTGTGGCTATGTGTTGCAGATTTGCTTGGAATTCCGGCTTGTCGTGATTTGGTTTCACTAACAGTATATTTCAGGTTGATTGGGTTCCTTTCGATGTGCTCATTTCGAACACTCCGTACCAGGCAGGTATTTGAAAGTCTCTTTAGGGAGATCACAGTGCTTACGCGTCGTTAGATTTCCTCGCCTCTTGTGTTCAAGATGCTCGCCATGCCAAAGCCGCCGCGGCAAGCGATTCTCATGTTCCAGCTCGAATTCGGCCAACGACTTGTGGCCAAACCCGGAGACAAGCTCTACGGCAGATTAAGTGTCAACGCCAATTTCTGGGCCACGTGCTCCAACGTGGTCAGTAGCGGGCAGACCTAACTACACCCGATTATGTTCACTGACACCCCGACAGATGAAGGTTTCGAAGGCCAACTTTAGACCACCGCCACAAGTCGATTCTTGCGTTGTGCGTATTGTGCCGAAGCAGGGCGCCGAGCGTCCTACCATCGCCTTCGAAGAATTTGACGGCCTTCTTCGCATTGTACGTACTTGGCAGGCACATATGAGTGTTTGTTGCTAATCCTCAATATCAGTGCTTCAACCGCAAGAACAGAACTATGAGAGCGAGGTAAGACGTTTTCAATCTCTGGGAAATATACCCATGCTGATGTACAAACTAGCTGGCTTGGCACGAAGGAAGTCCTTCAAATGCTCGAGAAGGTACGCCCGAAAATCATCTACAAGGTGAGAAATCAAGAAGCTCACAACCCTGCAGAACTACCGCACATGGGCGGCTATGAACAACGTGCCGCTTGACGACACCCTTGTCGAGGACGACGAAGACGAGGCTATGGAGATGGACGACGACGCGGACGCTGGCGCAGATGATGACGGTGTTGAGCCCATGGATGACGACACGCCCGAGTTCTTCAAGGAGCTCGGTGCCGCCACCAGCAAGGCGCCCGAGAAGACCAAGAGCAAGCGCAAGAAGACAAAGGTTGCCGCGCTTGTGCGGAGCAAGATTGAACGCGCGCTTGAGAGCACTGGCTTACTGGAGAAGCGCGCGCGCTCGTGTGACGAGACGGACTTTCTGAAACTACTGTCCGCCCTCAACTCGGAGGGCATTCACTTTGCTTAAGCGAGCAAACTCGTTGGGGGTATAGGTGATTTATATTGGACGGCATATCATGGCCTGGCGTTTGGGCGTACAAAATATCATTCGACAAGAGGGAGAGAGGTATCAGGTAGCGGATATAAAATGATGATCCATGGTTCAACTTTGCATTGAGAAAATATGCACTATGCTTAAATGTGATTCCCTTCAGGTTCATGTTCTCCCAGGACCAGTGCTCCGCTACCGTATGTCGTCGTACATGACGAGACGGACTTCAACCGTCTCAGGGAATAACAAGATGCTCTCGTACGTCTCAACTTGATCCGAGTCGAGCCTTCTTTCATGCTCATGCTTGAAACATACTTGAGCGATCACCGGGGGCAGCATAGCAAGATTGCGCATCCGCAGCCCAAGTCTAGGGTTTGGGATTCCAGCAGAGACTCCAGCGCTCCCTAGATCGAAATGACGAGCACTCATTGGAAGCACCCTTTTCCCGGGGCGGGTGCCTACAGGTCTAAGCCCCGTCCATTCCATCCGCCGCGCGCCAGAAGTTGATGCAGTCATAGTAGCAGGCTGTAATCGACAGGTGCCTGGCCGTGGCATCTACACTGCTTGTTCCATGTAAGCGCGAGCGAATAGCCAAAAAGAAAAGAAAAAGAAAGAAAAGAGAGAGAGGGGGAGAGAAGAGAGAGAGAAGAGAGAAAGAAGAGAAAGAAGGAACATGGTAAGTAAAAGAACGCCCCAGGTTGAGACAACAGTAGGTTTGAACGTCCAAGGCTCGAAACGGACATTGCTTTACACAAATCGAAGGCTTGCCTTCCGATCATGTCGTACGCTTTTGCGATCCGAATTGGGCCGACGGGAGAAGCAAGCAGTCTGGCACTATGTCCTTTTCCTGCTGGGGCAAGACCTTTACCTGCGCATGCACACTACCCCGTCGTGGAGGAAATCAAGTGTGGTTGGTGTCCGAGCAAGAACCAGGTAGCACGTGGCTCGGTGCATGCAGTTCCTGGGAACATCGAGTTGGACTTGACAAACACATACACTTTGCTGCGCCTTATATTCAGGCGAACCAATCAACTGGTCTGGGGCCACCTGTGTAAGCAGCTAGAACGGGTTTGCCTTTTCTGTGAGAATTTTTGTCCTGCCAGCGCATCGCGACGAGACAATCGAGGCCCGTAATTCCGGGACGGCGGGCTCGACTCAACGGTCTGACGGGTTGGATGCCATGTTCCCTCCCGCCTTGTCTGCCTGCCGGGTGTCCAAGAGCTACCCGAGAGAAGGGTGGCACGTCATGGCGCACGCCTCTCCCTTGTTATCCTGGGTTGTCCGAGCCTATAGACTTCCGGGTTCCTGCGCAGATGATCAACGCCCAGCAAGCGGCGCTGACACGCGGGGGTCGTCCACCAGTAGATGCAAAGACTCTTCGGTCATTTCATATCACGCGCTGGTGTGGAACGGTACGGGCGTGGGAGTTTAACGAACGATGTCTCTCGGTGGGTGAGGGGGGCATAGTTGTACATGGTGGGAAGGCAAGCGATGCACAAGGCAGGAGACATAGGGTCTCTCTCGTCTGACAGTGCCTCGTTTTCCTTCTCGTTGCTTTGGGACCACGGCTGGTCAGAGGATCGGCCGGGGATTACCGTTGAGAAGGTGCTCACCACCTCGGCATCATCTCACAAGAGTATGAGACCTGGTGATCTTTCCAGTGCCATGTTTGAACACTGAATGCCGCGTCACCAAAATGGCTGGACGTACTTTCATACTTGTCTTTCTGTACGCCTGACCGAGCCATGAGGAGCATGCTCTCTAGTGTCATACGCTATCGAGAGATGAGAGGTTTCTTCAATTAGAAAACGGCGTAAATCCAAGGGAGGAGCCGTCGGCGTATGCCTAGCAGATTCCGTCACACAGCATCAGCTGCCAGATCAGCGGTTCGTCGGGTTTCGGTGCTTCAGCAGTCAGAATGGCCGGTGAGGGCCTCGGTCTAGGCAAACAACAGGGGAACTTGTTACTCTGTGGGGGCCATCGTGTACAGGGGTCAAGATGCGTAGACGACTAGGGCCAATGAGGCAAGGCGTCAATGGGGAGTGCTCCATGAAGTATTTGTACACACGGGCTTGCCTGGAAAGCCCGGATCCTGCCCTAATGGATCCATGGCTGCGAAGAGTTGAGTGAATAAGCAGACAGAGACGCCGAGACGTCTGGGTAGCACCCCGATGCGCCCTTCTGGACGCTCATCCTGCCTTAACTTGAGATGGAGAGATTCAAGGGAGGCAAACGACGGCCAATCGTGCGCCGCAGTTAACCCCCAATGCCTAGGGGTGGTGTTGCTATTGGGATAGCGTACGAGACGCGTAGGTAATTGCCTCGTGGGAGATGGGTTCGCTGAGAAGTTCGGTCTGGAAGCTGGTGTCTTTCTCGTTTTGGCAGCGGGGGTGTCTTGGATTTCCTGGAACCCAAGATGATGGCCCCTAAATGACGGCCTAAGGTTGGCTGCATATGGGGATGCAGCCAGTCGCATGCCTCCTGCCACATCGTCCACTTGGCCGCTTGTGAGAGGCTCAATAAGACTGGCGTCCAGAGTTGTATCGCTGACTAGGTCGGCAAACTTGCAGTTGCTTGAGTGAAAGGCAGGGGTTGTTGGTATCGTTGACAGCAAGCGACAGGGCCAAAGAAAGCAAACAGTGCCAACGATAGGGTCCAGAATAAGAGCCATCAGAGTCTTCCAAGATGGATGAGGTCTTAACAAGACGGGGCGCATCAGCACGGCCGTTAAAGGGTCAAGCATCCAATTCTTCAGAGGCGCGTAAACTTCAATATTTGTTCGGCGCCAGTCTGACGCCGACGTAGCGCCTGCGAAACACGAGTAAGTACCGGTGTTGCGCTCATACCAGACAACCGACAATGACAATAGCACGTTAGAGCCATTGGCAACTGGTCCCGTGGCTGTCGCCCAAGAGATGAGCTTTCATTGAAATTCTCGTCAGGTTGGGCAGCTATTAGGGTAGCGAGATGGCGGCAATCAAGGAGGGCCCCCAAGGTCCCCTGAATCCCATTTCGTGCCATGCATCCGAAATTTGGAAATAGCAGAGCTTGAGGCAGAAGATGTACCAGAATACAGGTCCCAGTCATGTCCCGGTTCCGGTTCCTAGCTAGGACGCCTGACTACCCTTGGCCTTGACAATCACGTCCATAGCAGCACTGATATCAGCGAAGATGGAAGAACCGAGGAATCAAGTGTTTCGAGAGGCGACTGGCAGTGCCGGCGGCGTCAGCGGCGACGAGAGTTCATTTGAACCCAGATTCCTTCACAGGGGAAAGAGGACAGGGGTGAGCTCATTGGAAGAGCAGCTTCCTGAGGTTCCAGAAATCCGAACCCAAACAGCGGTGATGGGCGGCGGGGTAACTAAACTACCTACCGAGGTGACAGCTCGTCGGTGCAACAGAAAAAAAAAAGGCAACAAGAAAAGACAAGGAAAAAGAAAGCTGAGTGGGCTCCCGGATGGGAATCAGCTGCGACGTGTGTCCTGGCTTTGCCTTGCCTGGTGCCGGGGTCGTGGGGAGCCACCATGAAAGTTGCATCCAGGTAAATTCCAGATGGTGGAATTTTGGGCGTGGGCTGCGTTCATCCTCCACTCTCATCCACAGCCTAACGAGGATGAATCATCCTGGCGAAAAGCACCCGGGAGGGAAGTTGCGGTCTGAGGCATCCCGTAGTGGTTTCAGGGGATTTGCCGGCCATGGGTATTTTTCTTTTCTTTTCTTCTTTCGATCGATCCGTCGGTTCAAAGCAAACACATGCGCGGATACGTGTACATACCTAGGTACCTACACCACAGCGAGGAGTTAAGGGCAAGGCAGAGCAAGGGCGAAAGATTACCTCTGCTGATGTACGTGTCTCCCTAGGTAGGGACCCCTGTACATACTTGTATATTTGTACCTCGCTCGTACCTTCTAGGATAACGGGATTCCTCCCCCGCCTGAAGAGACCTCGTCTAGCGGGAGAAAAGGTACCCAAGTACGTACTGTGCGTAGGTATCTAGAATGTGGCCCGGATACACCACAGTTACCAACTCCTCCGCGGCTGGCTGGCTGGCTAGCTGGTGTTGACATTGTGCCTGGCAGTGGGACTGGCCTTGCGAAATGGTCGACGGGGTGTCGCCTTCCCTCTCTTTACTCATCTTCTGCAGTTTGCCCTCTACCCTTCGCCGAGCCCTCCGCCTTTTGTCCTCTGTGACGCTATGCCGGGACCTGCAGGAAGTCGGATCCATTTTCCCCCTCGCGTTGGCTGTTGAAAGAATCCGTCCGCGCCCCGTCCACTCTTCCAAAGCTCCGGTTTTTCTGCTCAGCGAGGGGGGGGGAGAGGCTTGCCGTGATGGTTTACCCATCTATCCGGTCAAACGCAATCAGTTACCCGGCCATCTTCCCACCTGCGCATGACTGAATAGGCAGAATCGGGTGAGAGGGGGAAAAGCTTCGCTGCTGACTTGTTCTGATGGGTCCTGGAACAGAGCTTCTGATTGCAGCGGATTGTAAGGAGCGCTTCCGCGGTGCCTTGAGCACCGAGCTCTCAGGCCCAGACCTGTCCATGTCTCTTCCATGCTGCCCCTAGGGAGGCCCCGAAGTTGAGCGGAAACAATTTTATGCAAGGATAGAGCATGGGAGGGAAGAGAAAATTTGTGCAAAACAAGGGACGAGAGGCGCGAGGAACAAAAGGTGAGAGACGATATGGCCTGCAAATAAGCTACCTCATTGCAGGGAAAGATTCAGGACGGAGGCACCAGAAAACGCCCTTTTCCTCTCCGAGAACCTTCTCCAAGAAACTCTTTGAAGCCTCAATGAGTCGGTGATGTGGCCTGTAGGTAAAGCATACCTACACGTATGCTTTTTAAACTTTTCCATTCTTCTAAATTTACAAACCGACTGAATAATCTAGGTTTCTTGGTCGTTGCTTGTCTTTTTGGCACCTTACTCGCCAAACTTGCTTTCGTCTTTATGCCTCTTTTCCGGGTTCTGTTCTTCGTAGATATCAATCCTTTGTCGAATTGTCCGCAGAATCCAGGGGAAGAGGGAAGCTTCGCTCCGGGCCTGTCAGAGGTTTCGTTTGCTTCCCATCCATGCCGTTCCTTTCAAAGGTACTGCCTCGTGGTTGGTCGGACGGCCAAGGTACGCTCAATGAGGTGTCGATGATGAACGGATGCGGACTGTACTCTGAACAGCTCGCGTCGCTTACACTACCGGTACGCATGTCAGGCCAGCGAGACATGGCAAGGCAGCACAGAACTAGGATATGTAAATAGCGTTGATGGAAGCGGTTCGTGTCAAAACAAATCGGGCATCTCAGAAATGCCTACAATCAGCAGGAAAAATCCGCCCTCCTTGTCACCTTTAGGAGTCAGTGACAGCAGCGGAAGCATCTGTGCATCGTCTGTGGAGGATGAGGCACTGGGGCACTGAGGCACACATCAGCAGAAGTGTACTTCATACAAAGTTGTCTTCCATGTAGCTCGGTACCTGCCTTGTTGATGACCACCAGCTGCTCCCATAGTAACCGCGTAGCGTAAGGGTCTCATGAGATGGAAGATACTTGAGAGTACGTACTGGTAGGTAGCCGACTACCTAAGACAATGTACCTCGCCTCTTCCCTTGCAACCAAGGTACTGCTTTCCGGCAGACGCTTCTACTTTTGGAGCTGCTGAGGTCTCTTGAGACTCGCCAGCTGGGCAGGTCTGAAGTGGGCGCGTCACACACTACGTGCTGTAGAACCTGCTCCTTGCCAATTGGTCCACCCCAGCACGCACCATCACTCACCAACGCCCAGTTGCCAACAGGAGCACCAACAAAGTACCTCCCGTCGCCAGCACCAGCATCCGCCAGTGCCAGCGCACCCAGCAATTTTATTTTTTATTTATTTTTTGGCTTTTTACTGACTGCGTGCCTTACTGACTTACTGACCTCATTCCCGTCTGTTCTTCCACAACTGCTACCACCACCTGCCTCTACCAACCTCAGTTGTCTTGGTCTTCGTCCTTACATCGGCCACACACCACACTCTCCTACTCCCGCTCAACTTACACCATCACTTTCGATTTCTTCATCAATTCCCTCATTTCGAGCTTCTTACGCCTCGCTGCCAAATCCGTATTCCTTTACCAGATACCGTTCTGACACTCACTCTCACTACTGTGTTCCTGTTAAACAGATCCACGGTAGCTTAGCAACTCATCGACTGCGAAACCTAGACACGACGGCGCATTCGTCTTGCCTCAACCCCGTCCCGAGCAGCACAAAACCCCCCCAGACGACGCTCACAGATACCCAACGGGACCGCCGCCTTCCAACCAGAATTCCATCGCTTCCCACGTCACATTGTCAAACATCATGATAGGCCTGGTTCCGAATAACGACTGCCGGCTCCCGAGTTAACAATACCCACTCATAAATCGATTGGTATGAGGACTGGACGAGGCTCCATTCCCTTTGCTGTCTCACTTGAAAATCCTCGACCATGGAAAAGACATCCAGCACCGCGAACGGGTCCCCTGACGCAAGCCAGTCACAATTAGAAAACGCCAGGACGGACGTCGCTCCTCCCTCTCATGCTACTACCACCACCACCGAACCCCAGCCGCACTCCAAAGAATCCTCGGCCACCACATCCTTAACGCCATCACCATACAACTCCCGCGACACTTCGCCCTCGCGACAGCCTCCAAGGCCCACCATCGCGCCTAAGTCGTCATCCACTCCCGGACTGAGGTCGCGGAAAAGCAGCCAGCAGGACTTGACCGCTGTCCGCACGCCCAGGTCCAGCAGTAGCATACCGGGCCCACCGGCTTCGTCGAGAGTTCTTTCCGCTGCTACCACTCCTACCCTCCTCCCGAACTCGCAAGAATCTTTTCTTAAATCCATCAACCCCCAAAAGGTGCCTCTCAACATTGAGGTGACCCAAACGAGAGACAGCCCTCGCTGGCCGGTGTCGCCTCGCTTGCGCTCTCCCCCTCCTCAGCTCAACAAGCCTCAAAACCCGCCTGCGCCGCGTCGAAGTGAGCAAGATACACCGAGAATAAACCTTACGAGGGCCTCTCCTTCTCCCCAACCCGACCCCCTTCCTTCCATGTCCGAGAGCGAGACCGACGATTCACAACTCCCCTCTGGCGTGAGAACTCCAGTTACTGCAAACGGTTCAGCTTTAGAAACAGTGCAGGAAGTGAGCTTGCCGAACTCGCCGGGCCAGATGGATTCCACGTTGGAAAAGGTCAATGAGAAGCTGGCCCAAGAGGCAGCTGCCAGCGCCGACAACCTCCACGCAGACGCAAATCAGACAATTCGACGGAGCAGGGGTCCTCTCCAAGCTGCCGAGACGGGCGACAATGGAACGCTCAAAGGGCGGTCCCAGAGTTCAGCCCTAGCACCAAATGTGACGCGACAGCCTAGTATGCTATCGAGCAAGCAAGGAAAAGGCAAGGCAGCGGGGGAAGGATCCTCCCTCATAGTCGAGACGGAAACAGTGTCTTCCATCCCGCAGGTAGCACTAGCGCCCGCTTCTAAATTAGAAGCTGGCGGCGGTACGTTGAAGGCAAAGCCGAGCACCGAGACGATCCGACCCAAAAAGGAGAAGAAGAGAACTAGTCGGAAGCAACCGACCGTCAACTCTAGCAACGGTAAGATGACACAGTTATTTCCACATATTTCTTTCAGTTATGCATATTCGGCGAACCCCACGACTGGCGTCTATTACACCTGATGTTCTTTTGCCGACCAAAATGTACTTTCAGACCGGAGAAGGCAGCTGTTTGTGACTTCGCGGCAGGACCATAGGACCTGGATCTCATTACTGGGTGTTTGTTTGGGGTTCGCCCGTCACATAATGAAAAAGGGAAACTCCCTTTATTGGAAACTTACTAACGAGGCGTTATTTAGCATCCTCCAAAGCAGATATCTTTGAGGCTAAAGTGGCCAGCGCGGTTGACGAGGCGAACACGTCAGACTCGGAAGAAACGTTTGTATACGATTCTAACCCTCCTGATGTGGGAGATAGACGCCGGTTCCATTCCCGAACTCCCAGCGCGACTTCAATGGTAAGCCAAGCCGATCGACCCGGCGGCATGGGTATGCGCTCGATCCATGAAGCTCTGCAGGGCGGTGCTGCTGCTGCTGGGCTAAAGAAGAGCATGAAGTTTGTCAACACGTTCAGTGGCAACGGACCCGAAAGTCTTGGCACCGATGAAGATGGGAAAGGCAGTGGCAGGAGTGTTGGACCTGGCTCGGGCAGGGGCACCACCAGGCACCACCACCACAATCATTTTGGACGGTGGGGACGACAACCTGGCAATTCGCATCCTTCTCTCTTCGACAACGAATCGCTATTCCCCAATGCTGCACGATCAAAGCTATCTGGGAACACCTCGAGGCACTCATCTGGTCCTCCAAGCCCCAGAGTTGCTAGTTCCTCTAGAGGTGGTCCGCATGCCCTCGCAAAGCGATCATCCATCCAGATGGCTCGTTATGATGCCGATGATACCACTACTACCGGAGCTGACGACGAGCGCACTCCCTTGATATCGTCAACAGTTCGGTCTGCGCGAAGAAGCCGGCGCCAACCCACAAATCTGCGAAACCTGGAATCACAGGCTTACAGGCAACAGCCATCTTATTTAAATCGGTTCGCCGCTTGTTTGGTGGTGACAATGATGCTACTGCTCGTCATTACCGGCGCCATTGGCTTTATGTTCGCCACGTCGCAGCCGCTCACGGACATCCAGCTCGTTTCCATCAAGAATGTCTTGACTAGTGATCCAGAACTCATGTTTGACATGACGGTCAAGGCTCACAACCCAAATATCGTGGTGGTGTCAATTGATCAGGCGAATCTGGAGATATTTGCCAAGTCGCCTCGTGCGGGAACAGATTCTGAATGGTGGAGGCGGCCGCATGGTAGAAACGAGGGCGATCTTGAGGACCCGGAGATGCATATCCGGGACGATCCCCCCGATGACCCTCCAGACGACGATACTGCGCCAAACATGCGTCTGGGTACCATTACGGAGTTTGACAGCCCGCTGTCTTTCGAAGGATCCTTCTTTAACAAAGGTGTTTCGGCGTCAACAGGTACGATGAGGCTTCATCTCCCTGGCAACCATTCTGCCGGAGGCTCCGAGCGTTGGGGTCGAATCATTCAAGATGAGTTCGACTTGATCATCAAAGGTGTCGTTCGCTACTCTCTGCCTTTGAGCCAGCGGGTGCGAAGTGCACCAATATCCGGAAGAACAACGGTCAAGCCTAATTCTGCCAACGACCCATCACTTCAACCAAACACAACTTTGCCTGGAGAGGTACCAGGTCTTGAACCATAAGGTACTGACGGTCGACACATCCAATCATTTTCTTTGTCAACTTGTTCTGTATATTGAGCGTGCATGGCATGGCATAGCATTTCAAAGGAACAACGGCGTCGGATGGTATTTACTAGCAACAAGCGCTTTGGAACAAAGACGGATAAAAGCGACCTGTATATACTTGTGTTCAGACCGTCGTCAATTACGATGGTCACTCTACTTTTAAGCTTGCGTTTCTGCGCAACTACTCTTCTGGTTTGCTTTTTGTTTCATCTTTTCATTCAGCTGATTCCCACCTTTGTGGGCCACACTCCCTCACTCAGCACAGCACATCAGGAAGCACAGCGCACTCATTTAAGGACAGGGCTTTTCTTTACTAGGGGGGGAACTGGTTTTAGTGCAT